CCACACCCGTCCCACACCTCCACACCCGTCCCACACCGCACACCTCCACTCCTGCCCCACACCTCCACACCCGCCCCACACCTCCACACCTGCCCCACACCTGCCCCACACCCCACACCTGCCCCACACCCCACACCTCCACACCTGCCCCACACCCCACACCTGCCCCACACCTCCACACCTGCCCCACACCCCACACCTCTACACCTGCCCCACCTGCATTTTTTGCTCTATCAGCTCTCCCAGCTTTTCTTCTGATAGGAGAGAGGAAAGGTGTCGCAATCCTCACGTAGACCAGCGGACCATCTGCTTCTGCTCAAAGGATTTGGGGGTGAATGTAGGGAGTAGTGAGCCTTTTTGTTTATTTCATCTCCAAAAGCATGTTGACTTTTCCCAGGTGCTGACACAACTTAGACTTACTCATAGAGGAAAATCAGAATGGCCCTCGTGGGAAACACAGCAGCCTGTCTGAGCGCCACTGAGGCGACTCTGGGCAGCCGTGCGCTGCGGTTCCGAAGCCTCTGCTGGTCTCTTACGTGGCTCAGTCTACAGGGAAGGGAAGGCCCTATCTGCCTCCAGGTCCAGGTTGTAAGATGAAAAAGCAGGGTGCCAGGGAACAGCCTCGTCTGGCCCCTCTGGAACTTGGGGTGCAGACGCAACCCCCAGCTGCCTGCCCTGTTTCAGCGCTGGTGCTTGCTAACGGCTCCAAGCACATATAATTGCATTAGCAGCTTAGGATCTCCATGGGTTCCCACAGCCCTGGCCTTTTTCTGTTCCTCTCTGTTACATGAAAGGCTCATAATAGAGAGACAGGGCGGCAAGGAGCCACAAGCTACTCTCAATCTTTCATGGGCAGGAGCAGGACGTAACAGTAATTACTGTAGTCATTGCATTTCCTCTAGCATATTTAGGCAAGTCCAATCCTACAGCTTGAAGTAAAATCCAGCATAGAATTATTTTTAATTTTTAATTATTTATATTGCCAAAATAGCATGTTTATACTTAAAAAAAAAAAAATCCCAGCCAGGTGCAGTGGCTCACACCTGTAATCCCAGCACTTTGGGAGGCTGAGGCAGGCACATCACTTAAGGAGTTTGAGACTAGCCTGGCCAACATGGTGAAACTCCGTCTCTTCTAAAACTACAAAAATTAGCTGGGCGTGGTGGTGCACACGTGTAATCCCAGCTACTCGGGAGGCTGGGCCAGGAGAATTGCCTGAACCCGGGAGGCGGAGGTTGCAGTGAGCCGAGATTATGCCACTGCACTCCAGCCTGGTGACAGAGTGAGACTCTGTCTCAAAAAAAAAAAAAAAAAAAAGTCTCCTAAACAATGCAGAAGAATAAAAATTTTTAAAAGGCCCCCTGCCATCTTCATCCCAGTCCCATCCCCTAGAGAAGAGAAAGATAGAAATGAAGTATTCTTCTAGAAATGTTACATTCATATGTAAGCATAGATAGACTACCCTTTACAAGTGAAGCATAAATGAAATTGTGCGATTGCTCTTGGGCAAAACGAACAAGCTGATCAAATATTCTCCTCTCTGGGAGGAGAAGCTATCGGTAGGGACATACAGGGAACAGATTTTCAAACCCAAATTTCCTTCCCTCACCAGGAATCACTCAGCAAGCCAAATCCACAAAGAGAAACTAGAAGGCTGTCTGCCAGGGACCAGGGAGGGGAGGGGAGGGAGTTAGTGCTTAGATACAGAATTCCAGTGGGGGAAGAGGAGAAAGTTCTGGAACTGGATGGCGGTGATGGTTGCCCAATGAATGTAGTGACACCACAGAGCCGCACACTTAAAATCAGTTCAAATGGTACATTTTATGCGATATCTATTTTACCACAATGAAATAATAAACAGGTCAGCACATAAGTAACTAAATAAATCCAGCCTCACCAGGACCAATTCTGGTGTTGAAAGATTCCAGAATTCTCATGGCAGCTGATGGGTGGTTTGATGCTCTCGTGTCCTGTGAGAAGGACTTAAGACTCAGAAGATTGTTCATGGGTTCCAGCCACGTGGGGGTGGTACAGGAGTGGGAGCCCGTGTGCAGGATGCATTAGGGAAACAGACCCTTGCAACATAGGGAGGGTATCTCGAGGCCCAGCCTGGACGGAGGCTATGACTGGTGTCTCCTCCCAAGCCGCATGTTACCTGGGATAGGAAATGGCCGGAAGTCTGGAAGGTAGGAGGCAGGAAGCGGGGCTTTGTTTTCTTGCTGTGAGCCAGATCTGCTGAAGTGGGATAATGCTGAAGTCAGAGAGAAACTTCTCAATGGAAACCGTTAGTCACAGAAGTAACTGGGGAGGGTGTGGGCTGAGAGGTGCGGAGAGGTGATGAAGAAAAGCTGGGGTTGTAATTCTGCCTGTGACCTAAAACGATCTATCTCGTCCTTTAAAATCCCAAATCAACTGTAACCAGAACTTTTTTTTTTTTTGAGACAGAGTCTCACTGTATCACTCAGGTGTGCAGTGGCGCAATCTTGGCTCACTGCAACCTCTGCCTCCCTGCCTCAAGCAACTCTCATGCCTCAGCCTCCTGAGTAGCTGGGACTACAGGCGCATGACACCATGCCTGGCTAATTTTTGTATTTTTAGTAGAGACAGGGTTTCACCATGTTGGCCAGGCTGGTCTCAAACTCTGACTGACTTCATGTGATCCACCCACCTCCGCCTCCTAAGGTGATTACAGGCGTGAGCCACCGCACCCGGCCACGACCAGAACTCTCGAGAGCATGTACTCGACACTCAAAGTCCAAAAGTCTACCCAAGTTCAGGAAGAGAGCAGTTCTTCAGCTCTGCACCTCGAATTTTGTTTCTAGAAGGTTGCATGTAGGTCTGAAGGGTGACAGCACATTTGTTTAACAGGAACTCAAAGCCAGCAGATCAGGAAAGGACACTTAGAAGGTTTGGAGTTTGGGCTACAGAGGTTGAAGGCAGACCTTTCATGGCAAGGAATGTTTGAAATTGGGCATGTGACATATCAATTTAGGAATGGGTGGATACAGGCAGGTGAGTTGAAGGGAGTTCTGACAGGTAAGACTGCTGTCTGGTAAGCGAACCGTTTGCTCAAGCAAGTGAACCATTATCCTGATAGGAAAGCGGTTTGCCCAGACAAATCGGTTTGCATTCATTTCCTGAAGCCAACAGTGAAGTAATTTCTTGGTTCAGCGGCTTATCTTCCTTGGCAAGAGTTTTCTGGAGCAGAGAGGAAGTCCCTGACACAGGTGGTCCCAAGGCTCAGCCCAAGAGGTGAGTTGCGTGGTTCCAGGCAGACTTGTTTCCCAGGGCGTCCTGCGAGGCCGTAATCAACAAGGCACAAGCTTAACAGAGCCATGCCAGGTTTTCACGTTGCAAGAGAGAGATTCGCTGTGTTTCTGCAGTCACAGGTGTTCGTTGTAAGAAACGGGTGAGGTGAGGAAGGTAGAACTCTCCCAGGAACTGGGAACAGCTCTCACAGGCAGACCTCACGGAAGAGACCCGAGCTGGGGGACTGGAAGGTGGGTCAGATGTTTCAGAAGCTACAGGGACTTCAGCACTCAGATTGGGGTGTGATCTCACAGCACCAGGAGCCCTGAACACCGGCCCGATGCTCAGCTCTGAATGCAGCTTGACCAGACAAAGCTGAAGACAGCATTAACGCCAGCAGCCTCCGACACCCCTGACCTGCTCGTGGCCTTAATCTCAAACCCTGGTCCTAAACTACCTCTTACTGTGCATCACAAGTCACTGCCCGTCTTCCTGGTGTCTGGTCTGCTGCCTTCTCCGACTCATGGCTTCACTTCACCCGTTGATTCCCTTTTGACTTTCAGCGACAGGTTTCACCAACTAATTGCAACTCCAGCCTCAGCTCTGGGGCCACAAAGCCTCAAGCACCTGGGACTTGCCCCAGCTCCAGAGCCCTGTCCTCGGCAGCCGTCCTCGGGAAGAAGCAGACAAAACTACGTGTCAGAGACACGGCTCTGGTTGTCATGAGAAGACTGGATTGGAAAGAGGTCAAGGAGAGACGAGAATCTCAATTAAGGAGAACCCTGAAAGGCAGTAAAACATGGAGATGGCACCATATTCATCTTCTGATGAATCTGCAGACAGGGGAGGGAGGAGTCCAGGGTGGCTTCCGGTTTCGGCTGGCTCAAGTCTGTGTGTGAAACAGAAGGAGGAGAAGATTCTGACAATCTGCTGCTGCTCAGGCCAACTTTCGAGGATCCTGTGGACCGTCCAGGGGAGAGGCTGGGTCTGTGGGCAGAAATTAGAACCTGGGGTTCAGGCTGGGGCTGATGTAGGAGGCTTAGGAGATAATGGAAGTCGAATCTGGGAGTGGGGACAAAATCCCTGGGAAGCACCAGGATTTAAGAGGATTCAGAAGAGCCTGCCAATGAGAGGGAGAAGGAGCGCCAGTGATGGAAGAGGAAACCCACACAAATAATGTTATTAGAAATCAAGGAAAGGGGCCGGGCACGGTGGCTCACACCTGTAATCCCAGGACTTTGGGAGGCTGAGGCGAGTGGATCACGAGGTCAGGAGTTTGAGACCAGCCTGGCCAAGATAGTAAAACCCTGTCTCTACTAAAAATACAAATATTAGCTAGGCGTGGTGGCGGGCATCTATAATCCCAGCTACCAGGGAGGCTGAGGCAGGAGAATCACTTTAACCTGGGAGGCAGAGGTTGCAGTGAGCCGAGATCGGGCCACTGCACTCTAGTACTCTAGTCTGGGTGACAGAGCAAGCCCTGTCTCGAAAAAAAAAAAGGAAGAGGAGGAGGAAGAAAAAGGAAGAAGGAGGAGGGGGAGGACACAGCATGAACAGCAGGTGAATCTGGGTAAATGATACACGGGTACCTTAGGTGCTATTCTTCAACTTTTCTGTAAGTTCGGAATTATTTCCAAATGAAGACAGAAAAAACAAAGAAACATGCAGGAGGAAGACAGTCAATGACACAAACAAACCAAGGCAGATGATGACTGAGGGGTATTCATCAGTCGTGCCCATGAATGGTCTTTGGGGATCTTGGCATGGGGACCACTCACGAGAGGGAGGGGACAGATGCCAGGCAGCGGGGCTAGACAGTGAAATGGGAGCAGAGGGAGTGACAGGGTGAGTGAGAGCAGTTTTAAGAGGCTTGACTGTGGATGGGAAGATAGGTTGAGCTGTGGCCCAGGAATGACCCTCCAAGTCCCCACTATGAAAGTCATCCTTCCAAAGCACTTTGCACCCCAACACAGGGCACAAGAGGGGCCCTTCAGTGCTTGACAAATGGATGCATGAAGGGATGGATGAGTGAATTTTCATCAAGGACCAAGCGAGCCTAGCCTGAGGGCTTCAGGTTCCTAGGCAGTGAGGGCTAATGGGTGGGGGCTTGGTTACCCTGGGAAGGGGGCTGAGCAGGGGGTCCTCTGTCCCCCAGCCTCATTCCACACACTGTGCTGCCTGCCGCTGTTCTCCTTCACACTCAGACTCCGCCTGCCCAGCCACGCCGGGCTCTGCTGCTTGTCTCTACTCTGCAACCCTCCAGCCACCCCTCGCCCGCATTTGGTGTTTCCCTCAGGTTCACACGGGAGGCAGCTCAGGACTGCGAGGTGCTGGGGCAGCACATCCCGGCAGGTGCCGTGCTGGAGGTGGCCGTGGGTGCCCTGCACCATGACCCAGAGCACTGGCCAAGCCCTGAGACCTTTGACCCTGAACGGTGAGTGCTGCCCCCATTAAAAAGCTCTGAAGGGATGTGAGTGTGTGGGGCCGAAATTTACCAGTGGAGGCAGCAGCCAGAGATACAGACTTAGCAACATTGTTCCTGGTAGTCAAAAGTTATGGGAATTCAGATAGATGTTTGCAAGGCATGATTTCTAAAGGAAATAATTATACCGTTTTTTAAGTTCCAAAGTGAATCCAGAGATTGAGCATTTCAGCAGCCCTGCATGCAAGGAACAAGGCAGTTTCAAATGATTGTCTCCCATTCATTCAAGCCAGGACATGGGGTACAGGATTGTATTTCAGGTCTGCACTGGAAAGTAACAGAGCATCATTTCCTGTTTTAAAAATGGGCAGCTATGCCAAAACAACAGCTTCAGCCAGTGTCTCCGTGAATCTAAGCTCATGGGGTCCGCTGGTTGACCTGGGTCCCCTCCTTCCAACGCCTGGCTTCGGTTCATTGTCTCATTTCATTTCTGGGCTCTGTGGTTGGAAACATCTGAGCAGGTGGCCACACCCTCGTCCTCATCAGAACCAGTCAATATCCCCTGTGTGTGAGATCTGGCAAGGGAAGGGCTGGACCGGCACCAGTTGTGTTTTCACCTTTCATGGCTCCAAGTGAACTCAGCCCAACTCTACAACCCAGCCACTGGGAAAGTGTGAGCAATGGGATCTATGCAGATAATATTCCACAGTCAGCAACTCCTGAACACGCCGCAGCTACAGGGCTTACAGCCTCACGATAAAGCCCAGAGGCAGTAAGAAGTGAGCTCACTCTTACAGAAGAGTGAGTGCCATCTAGCTTCATTGTCATGGGCCACACGCTGCAGGCAAATGCGCTATTTGGTGGGAGATTCAGCAGTTCCGAGGAAAGGCCTCCAGCCGTCCGGGTACTGCAGCTCCCAATGGGTCAAGTTTCCAGTGCTGGGGCCTGTCAAGCAAGTGTGGGCTGGGGAGGCACTGCCAGTGTGGCTCGAGACCAGCAGGACAAGCAAGCAGGTCATGGCCCCCAGGGAGGGCTGGGGAGGTGTAGAGGTGCCTGGTACCCTGCCAAGGAAGTAAGCAGGTGGTGGCTGAGTCATCCTGTGGGAGGGGAGGTGGTGCCATGGGCCCAGGTGAGGGCTGTGATTGCCGAGCCCTGTGGTTCAGGGATGCTGTGTTTTGACTCTAATTGTGGGTGGCGGTAAGTCTGTGGGCTTATTACCCACGCACTGAATTCCTAAGGAGAGGCAGGGAGGGCGCTGTGGACATTGCAGGTGATTCTGTGAATTCAGCTCTGCCGGGGCTGTGCAGGAAGACAGGCGGACAGGAGCAGAGCGGGACTGAGGATCAGGAATGAGCAGCCACCAGCTCCCAGAGCCTTCGGGACATCCTTGTCTCAGATGCAGGGGTGGCTCAGCTGGAGCACAGGGCTGCAGAGGGGAGGGAGCGGGTGTTCTGGGCCAGCCCTGACCACACGGACCTGCAGGTTTACAGCTGAGGCCCGGCAGCAGCACCGGCCCTTCACGTACCTGCCCTTTGGGGCCGGTCCACGCAGCTGCCTCGGGGTGCGGCTCGGGCTGCTGGAAGTCAAGCTGACACTGCTCCACGTGCTGCACAAGTTCCGGTTCCAAGCCTGCCCTGAGACCCAGGTGAGGCCCCACTGCCCCGGGAGCGGGGTGGGGGTGGGGGCACCCCAGTTCTCTGCACCAGAGCTCTTCCTCCATGAGCTTGGGCGAGCTTCTTAACCTACCTTGGCCTCAGTTTATTAATCTGTAAATCAGGGATGATAATAATACCCTCTGCCTCTCGACATCCTGTGAGGATTCAGTGAGTTCACACAGCACAGATAAGCCCTGGCGCACTAACCCGAGCACATGCTGACCATCGTTATTATGGCTCTCTGCACATCAGGGCTGGACCTCACCTTGCTGTAGCTCTTCCCTCTTTCCAAGAGCACACAGACAATGGCATCTGCAGTTGTGACATGTGCCTATCTTTGCGGGGGGGGGGGTGCATGGCTTGTCCTGCAGAAGCTGGGGACACATCCTCTGGCCCCTCCTGACCGAGTAAGGTGCTGTGTGCTTGGAGGGGAAGCTGAGGGGTTTCAGCTCCTTGAAGGGTGCCCCCAGCTTTGCCTTCCCCCCTCGTGCACTCAAGTGTCCCCATGGCATCAGCCTGGTCCCTCTCACAGGTGGAGACACAGATTCTTCCCAACACCACAGGCGTTCATTCCTGAGGTCCTCAACTGGTGCACAGACCCTGTCCTCACCCAGAGGGCTGAAATGCGGCCCCACCCACTTTCCAGCCCTGTTTCCCCCACCCATCACACACTCCAGAACCAGCAGACCAGTTCCTCTACAGTAGGTCGGGAGCTTATAAGCCCCCCACCTCACGCTGACAGCAATCCTACAGAGTAGGTGTTAATATTCCCATTCTTCAGATGAAGAACCAAAGCTCAGAGAGGTTAAATAACTTGCCTAAGGACGCACAGTTAGACTGCAGGCTTCATGATGGCAGGGACCCAGCCTGTCATATTCATTATTGGACTTTCCAGCATCTAGCTTGATGCCGTGCGCATGGCAGGTGCTCACTTATTCATTCAACAAACATTAATGAACAAATGGATGAGCAGCCAGAGATTAAAGAAACGGAGGTCCTGACCCAGATCCTGTTCACTCCCAAGTCCTCCTTCCTTCCTGACGTCCGGCTGCGTCTCTGCACAGCGTTGGCTATTCCCTGCCCATCCTGACCATTGCTGTCCCCTGCATCTATCATGCTGGTCCTGCCACCCAGAACCCTCTGTTCAGCTGCAGACCTGGAGAGGTGGGCATAGGAAAGCATAAGGACACAGTGACAGCGACAATTCTAGATTGAGACAGGCAGTGCCTCTGACAGAGAACCTGGGACCGGCTGCTGGTCCTGGAGGAATCATGAGCTTGGTTGGAGGAAACAGTCTGAGGTACTGAAAGTGAACTCGTCCACACACTCTGGGCTGGAGAGAGGGAGGGGCAGATCGGCAGCATCAGCCAAACCAAGTGAGGTCAAGGGGCAGACGGGGGAGCAGCCCCCACAGCCTCGGGACTTCCACGTGTGCGGGGCTTGACTCCCTTCCCCATGATCTCGAGGTACAGTACAGCAGCCAGACCAGTCTCCTAAAACATTTAGGCCTGGCACTCCCTGGCTTAAGAACCAGCCATGAGTCCCAGAGCCTGCTGGATCCAGGGAGAATGCATTCTGAATTCGAGACAAGGCTGAGCCCATTCTGCATTCCCCACCACAACTTCCCACTCCGAGAGGGCTCCCCATTGGTCCACGTCTGCTCAGACACGTGCTGCGAACTGCAGCTTTTTCAGGTGCCTTTGAGGGCTGTGGTTCCCACGGGAGACAAGTGCAGGCCCAAGCCCTGGAAGACAGCTGTGAAGGCTTGCATTAGCCATTGGGTCATCATTTCACTCAGCTCCAGGGGAAGCCCTACTTCTTGGGCAATCCTTTGGCTTTTCTTTGAAGCCCCCAGTCCACCGCCGGCTCTGCCTTTTAAGGTGGACATAAGAAAACTTTCTGGATGTCAGTGAGGCCAGACCACAGCACGCATGAGCAGAACAGAATGAAGCTGCTCTCCCCAAAGCCCCTTGGCCAGAGGGCATTGCTCAGTTACTGGCCAGGACTGGGGAGTGAGATGAGGATCAGCAGGGATGGCTAGAGTCACTGGAAGATAGGTTTGGGGCTTTGCTCTCTGCTTTCTTCTTGTGTGACCTTGGACAAGGGACTTGGCCTTCCTGAACCTCCAAGTCTTCATGAGTACAGTGAGACACTACTATCTCTTTGACAAATATTTTAATTTTCTCTATTTTAGGTACCACTGCAGCTAGAATCCAAATCTGCCCTAGGTCCAAAAAATGGTGTTTATATCAAGATTGTACCCCGCTGACACAGAAGGCCGCCAGGGGAGAGAGGGTACCCCCAAATTCAAAAAATCTCCTGAGTGTGGAAATTCAGATTTTTGGGAAAATGTCACTGAAGTGATTGAGAGAGTCCTGGCATGCAAGGATAAAATAAGTCATCTCTGTAACATTTCCTAAATGCCTAATAAACGTTTGTTGCACTTGGTTTTGACATTGCCAGTGGGGTTTGCATCAGTGATCTGACTCTCTAAATGAAGGATTGCTGATAAGTGAAAATGTAGTTTTGACAAAACAACCGAGAATGTGAGATTTTAAAGGAAGTCCCAGGCTCATGCTGAAAGGAATCCATGGCACAGGGCACAGGAGGACACCCAGGTAAGCCTGTCCAGATGGCACCAGCTAGTGGCTCTTCCAGCTTCTTGTGCAATGTGGAGTTTTAGAGAATGACATTTATCAGAAGCTTAACCTCAAAAGTGGCTCCAAAGCTTTATTATGCTTTGATTTTCCTAGGTAGGGTAGTACCAACTTTATAGTAACGTTTCAATTGACAGAAAAATGAGTCTGAAAAATGATATACTTTTTAAGAACACCGTATCTTCATTTTGATCAAAGAATCAAAATATAGAGGGAATTTTTTGTAAAAATAATTACTGTATTGCTAAGCAGCTCACATTCAATGAAGCAGTTGCAAGGTGAATCTCAAGCTCTGACACCAGAGGCTGTGCACTCGCGGTTGCTGGGGAAGAGCAGCCTCACCTCCCTGTGCCTCAGGGGCCTCTTCTGTAAAATAAGGAGGCTGGCCCCAATCAAAGACCTCTTTCTCTTCTAGTTGACACCTGAGCAGGTGTAAGGGGCTGAATGTTGTATAGAGAATGATCTTGTAGAAATCCATAAGGCCTTTAGGTGACACCGACTCTGGCGACCCACCTTTAGAAACTTCAGGCCATTGTAGGAGAGCTGGCAGGCTGGGTTTCCACATATTCACTGCTGAGAACACTGCCTCCACTGTTTGGTCCTCCCCATCCCGTCCCACAGTCCCTGACCTCTCCACGGCCACTGCCATCATAGAACCTCAGCCTGCAGACAGGCCCAATGGAGCACTCAGCTCCCTGCTTGGAGCACAGCCCCACAACCTAAGCCCACCCTTGGGCCCTCTGCCCCCACCCCCAGCCCATCAGCTCCATTTGGCTTCCCTCAATTTCCCAGCTCAGGCGGTCACCACCTTCAGACATAGTGGTAGAGGCTTCCTCATGTGCTGAGGTCACTGGACTCTGGTCCTATTCTACTGTGTGAACCCACCAACCCCACCTCTGCTTAAATCCCACTGTTCATGTCCAACACCAGCTATCACAGGGCAGGGAACTGCATTGCCTGGTCCTCCAAAAAATCCTTGCTAGATTCCCAACTGGGTCTGAGGGATTGTATTATCTTCCCAGGCCTACGAGGGGCATGGTTTCATAAGCAGAAATCTCCCAGCGACATGCCCAACCTGCCTTCTTTCACATCTCCATCCGGGAGCCTAGAGTCCTTTGTCTAACTTTCACGAGTGTGGGAAAGGTAGACTGCCCAGGTGAGCTCCCTTTGTTTAAAAAGACAAACGAAAAGCTATGGGAGGATGGTGAGCCTGGCAGCCAATCTGATATCAAAGTCAAGATCACTCCCTCCAGCGGAAGTTTGAAGGAACTCCTCTCGTGGTACAAGAACTTGAATGGGGCGGGAATAACTCCCAGATTAAAAGACTCCCTGCCCCTCACCTGTGCAGACTCCATCTCTGGATCCCCTCCCACGACAGCGTGGGAGCGCTCTTGCGCTCGCTCTCTCTCGCGCGCGCTCTCGCGCTCTCTCTCTCTCTCTCTCTCTCTCTCTCTCTGCCTAATAAAGTGCTTTTCTGCAAAACTCTTTGGGTCCGATATTTACTTGAATGAGCCCACCATACCTCCAGGCCTCTTCCCCGATTCCTGGGGCAGGGGAAGCCAAGAACCTGGAACACTTGGTTACAGGTCCTCACAAAAATTCCGGCCAATCCCACACACTCACACCCATGTCCCGGACCCTACCACCTCCTGGCAACAAACATCTTGAGAGTCACAGTCGTTTCAACCCCTTCCCATCACAATGCCCACCCCTTCTGCACCGGTAGGAACAGCCCCAACCCCATCATCAGGCAATCTGGCCACGTGGCTCCCACTCTCCCTAGAACTGCTGATGTAAGGAGTTGCTCTTCCTAACCTGCTTTCTCCCAGGTCATCCAGTCATGGCTACCGCAGTCTTCACAGCTCAGTGGACTTTTCTGGAGCATTTGAGCACCTCCCACTGGATCCTTCTGGCCACTCTCCCCATCTACACCCGCAATAAATGAGTTCTGTTCGCCGAGTCTCCCCAGCTCCCAGATGGTTCGGAAGCATAGAATCAGCTCACTAACATGTGAGACCTTAACAACAGACATGTAACTGATTTAATGGTTTTCTCTGACAGCTTTTTGCCCCCTGCCCAACTGCACCATAGCAGGACCAATGACTTAATGAAGAAGCAATGAGT